CCTAACCATTTTCTAATGCATATCCATGGCACAATATAACGCCTCTGGTGAGATAGTGCGCGAATAGGCGCGCAACACTAACGTAGCCAAACGGTGTACTGACTGGTATATGCAGCGGGCACCTTACATGCGAGGTCTTCCTCCTATTTCTCAAGAGAGATATAGCTACTGATTAAATATTATCATATAAATCTATGCTAGAATACCTCCTCCCTATTCCAAATGCATAATTTTTTTTAATTTTTTTTTTCTTGGGAGATATTGCGCATGCGCGAGCACCGTTTCAGGCGTGCAATATGGACTGCAGAACACTGCATAATATAGCTTGCTATGAGAGAAGGAGGGTTTGAAGACTGAGGAAAGGTGGCAGGGAAGAAAGCTGAGGGCGGTAAACAAGAATGAGGCTGAGCGAGAAACAGGGGGTGAAGCAAGGGAAGGACAGGAGGGGATGAATTAGTAGTTTTGCTTCCCACAAGCTAGGACGCTCTCACAATCATGAACACAGGTCAACTGATAACAGTTTATTTCATAAATCTATGCTGAGATATCCCCTAACCATTTTAAATGCATATAAATCACAAAATATAAATCCTCTGGTGAGATATTGCGCATGCGCTAACACACTAACGTAGCCAAATTGTGTACTGACTGGTATACGAAGCGGGCACCTTACATGCGAGGTCTTCTTCCTATTTCTCAAGAGCGGTATAGTTGTGAAATATTTACATAGAAATCTATGCTAGAATACTTCCTCCCTATTCTAAATGCATAATTTTTGCAAAATATTATTTTTCTTGGGAGATATTGCGCATGCGCGATCATCGTTTCAGACGTGCAGTATGGACTGAAGAACACTGCATAATATAACTTGCTAACAGAGAAAGAGGGTTGGGAGACTGAGGAAAGGCGGCAGGGAAGAAAGCTGAGGGCGGTAAAAATGAATGAGGCTGAGCGAGGGACAGAGGGGGAGGCAAGGGAAGGACAGGAGGGGGTGAATTAGCAGTTTTGCTTCCCACATGCTAGGGCGATTTCCCAATCATAAACACAGGTCTACTGATAACAATTTATTTTATAAATCTATGCTGAGATATCCCCTAACCATTTTAAATGCATATCCATCACAAAATATAACTCCTCTGGTGAGATATTGCGCATGCACTAACACACTAACGTAGCCAAATTGTGTACTGACTGATCTATGCAGCGGGCACCTTACATGCGAGGTCTTCTTTCGCGTATTTCTCAAGAGAGTCATAGTGCTGAAATATTTCATATAAATCTATGCTAGAATTACTTCCTCCTATTCTAAATGCGATAATTTTGCCAAATTACCTCGTGCTGTCGTCGAGAGTGAGCGCGGCATGCGCGAGCCAGGCGCGTAGCCAGGGGGGCCGACCGCCCCATCGCCCCCCCCCAAAAAAAACGCCGGCCCAAAAAAAAAGAGCGAGAGAGGAGACAAAAGTAAGCAGGACTTGTAGGAAGAAAGGAGGCACACAAAACACATGACAAAGCATTATAAAAGACAACAACAGATATCTTTTACATTATTCAAAAACTATTGTGCGGTGTGAACATGAGCTTTGAGCCCAGCGCCCAGTTCGCCTTCGATCCAGCTCGGCATAACATATCATGCGTACCTACCACAATAATATGACTATCGCCAAGCTCTTACGGATATTTGTGTACCGCGTCGGGTTCTCTACAGTGCCTACTTGTGGATTCTTATTGTTTGTCTGAGGCTGTCACACAAGTCCTGCTAGCAATTATGGAATCTTATAATGAAATGCTGATTGTTTGAGTGATTGGCTTTATTTAACTTAAATATATTTATCACATGCATGATGCTCTTTCTTAAAGATATCCTAAAAAAAAATCGAAATTATTCGTATTAACAATAAATCCAATATGTATTCTTTGAAAATTAGGATTAATAGTGAGAACGGTACAACGGATCTCCTTCGTCTGCTTAATAATTTATGAAAACGTCAGAGGCTTCCGGCCGCACTTTCGCGCGGGAAGCGGGAATAAACTCCCCTTCCTGACCCACCCCTAAGAAGCGTGCGGAGCCGCGCTCTTTTAGTGATTCGCACCAGGGCCCGTAAAATCCCGGGGGGATGGCGGGAATGCCATCCCGCCTCTGAAGGAGGGGGCCGATTGGCCTGACACAATATCCCCCTGCCTAAATTCAAAAAAAAGAAAAAAAAAGAAAGCAAAGAAGAAAAAAAGAAAAGAAATGTTTGTTTCAATTTCAGGCATAATGGCATTGGAGAAATTAGTTTTTTTAAATGTATATGTTATAACTGTATAGCCTACGCAGCTACAATTCAGTGTTAATCATGGCTATTGCATGTATGCCGAAGATAGCACTTCAAGTGGGGCCACGGAGGAAGGACGTACTGCCAAGAGGCCATATATATACAGTCTGCTCAAAAGTACAAGTAGTACTGCGGGTGCAGTGGAATCTGACACCCAATATATTCAAGCTTCTTTGCAAGCAGATTAGCAGGAATTGTCTGTTCTTGACGCCAGAAGGTTGGTGAGATTTACGGATTATTTATTGAACACAATGTGCCTTTGAGGGCGGCAGACCATGCAAATAACTCTTCAAGAAAATGTTCCAGACTCACAATAGCCCAAAAGTCATGGTTGCAAACAGATCAAAAACACGTTGAATTGTGAGGAAATTGCAATTTACCTGGCTTTTATACATGTTATTACTATTGCATAACCTTACTGTGTACGCTCTCTGAAAAGGAATTGAAAAGTGTTGTGAATCGCCTAATTTGTAGGGTTGTCTAGGGTGAGATAGTTGGTATCAGACATCCTGGGAGGAATGATGGCCCCACAGTTATGCCTCAGATTGCGAGGAAACATGGCGTAAGATATTTCAAAGAATTTTCTGGTGGGGGGGCATTGCCCCCAGACCCCCGTAGCACTGGGCATGCCTACGGGCACGCCTCGCCAAACGTACGTGTTGTCAATCGGCATGTGCGTGCGTGTATGTATGGTGGCATATAATGCACATGGCTAACGATTGGTTTTACGCTAGTGTGTGCAGCTATTGTTGATGTATGCCTAAGCAAAGTCACATGGATAAGAATAGGAAGTCAGATGTTTACCGGATGACTAGAGGTACGTGCCTTTATTGTTTAGACAGTGTACAGCGGCCGCGGTCGTGCCTGCCTAGTATGACCTGGTTGCTACGGAGCTCTCCCAGATACCGCTCGCCGCTCCGGCTTTATGACCGCACAGGCACGCCGCGGCGCATGTGTGACCTTCATCCCCGTGCAAGCCGCATTGCGTGCAACCAGGCCCAATTATAAACCGATTAAGGGTCACTAAAACCGCGCTCACATCGGCGTCAACCAGGCCAATTACTAAGCCGAGATTCAACGCGCGCTGCACTCAAAAACGCGCTCAACATCGGGCCTGTCATCAACCAACTTTCAAACCGATTAACGGGTCACCCTAGAACGCCGGCTTACCACGCGCCGCCCCGAGGCCTGAGTCATGCCTTCGTTGATGTGAAGCCGCTGCTCTAATTGGTCCTCATGTGTCGCGGCGCGATATCCGATTATTAAGCCGTCGGGTCGCAATAGCCTGGATGCGGACGTCGCTTACACAATCGGGCCCCCGAGTCGAACCGGGCGCAATATCGCGCGTGTCAATTATTATGCGCTATGCGCCACACTAATTTTAGGCCTATAGCAGGGCATCTTGCCGCCGTGTAATATCTATTGCGCTATTCCCTCCGTACTGCGGGAAGAAATATGGGGCGGGGGGACATTAGGCTCTACAGCTGTTAACGCTTTGCAGCGTTTACACTTCTCCCACCCACTAAAACCCGATGCTTCACAAGGTGGACATCGAATGCCAGTCTGCCAGGGCTGCCTACGCGTCATGCGTAATTTTTCTGAATACCTAATGGAGATATACATAATACTCGCCATACATAATACCATAACTACTACTGTGGTTACGCTAGCCTTGTCTTACTTGTGTGGGGCACTTCGAACACGGCCGGCCGCCCACACCGATACAAACTACTAGGCGGATATGTCGCGGATGATCTGTGCGCTGCGAAGTGGACAGCGACGTGACAGTTAGTTGACGCGTCAAGGTGGTTCACTTCTCGTTCGAGCGCGGTGGCTAGGCGGCTGATGGTGTCGTCTATGGGAGGCACAAGCATGGACCGTCGCCGGCCAGACAAGACTGGCCGTCACGGGCTGCGCGTCGCACCGCTTGGGGACGCTCAGTGCGCCGACCTATCAGTCTTCTCGGGGGACGGGGTTCCTACTCAGCCAAAGCTCAGTCCCATCAGTCCTGGTCTGTGACAGTCGCCAACACCCCCCACACCCTACCTTCCAACCGTCCGCCCCTCCTACACCCACATTACTCTAACCCTCTCCTGCCACGGGTCCAACTACTTGTGCTTGAGTCGCCCGCACTTTCTATCCGTCATGTCAGCAGACAGGCGACATTTCGCGCTCTTTCATACAACCGGTCAAACAAAAGTTTGCACATCGCGTCCTCAACCCATGTCCCCAGAAAAGTCTAAATTGTGCCCTGTGGCCCATTCTGTCGAAGTCTGAGGGGAGTTAGCACTTCTCAACCTGGACATTCGTGGTTGTAATCGCCGTCCTGTGTATTGTTTGTGCCCTGCGGATCTGGCGCTTATCTGCCGGCCTCGCGCCGCGTTTGTCCACGGCTTGACTGTGACCTCCCAATTTCCGGACCCGGTCGTCCTTCCTGCAGTCGTCGTCTTCGTCAGGGCTACCGGGAAGAGAGTCGGGCATCGCTCAGTCGTGCCGGTGAAGCGTCGCCGCGGCGTCACACAGCGCGCACAGCTACGACCACCACGCACCTTACGACAAACATACCGACACGCAGCCGAGCCAGTACCGCACGGAATACAGCTAGCAGGCAGTACACTCATCCTGTTCCCTCTCTCT